TTAAAAACAATATATTATATATATGTACATGTACTTATAATAATGGTCAATAATGTTCATATATGAATTAATATACTCCAAGTTTCTAAAACAATTAATGCACATGTATGTATGTATCAGTATGTATAATATGTAGAATTAAATGTACATGTACATTGTACTGTACATGTACATGTACTCTGTATGCATTCAATTGTAAATGTACGTACTTCAGGGTCAAAGTTCACTTTCAACACTTCCTTCCCATCCTTTGTCTCCCAGACTAGCAGTGGCTTCTCAAGGTTAGTCTTAGCTATTGTCTCAATGTCACTGGCCCACCTTGTGAAGACATCAGCTTCAAAACTAACAATGAAATAGTAATAATGCATTTAATGATTTGCTATAATAATGATAGCTAACCTGCTGATATAATTCATCATTTCATCATACTTACTGAATACATCCTTAGTATCAGGACTGTCCCTTGAACTATGAAGATAAAGCAATAAGATGAATAATAACATGTACATGTACATACACCAATTATGATATTATAATAATCAATATACAAGAGCTGGTAAATTTGGCATTTCGATAATCATTCACCAAAATAAAACCATGCAGGCATTTTGAACCAGCTACATGTAGCTCGGCCAAATCATCAATAAGAGAGTAAACGCATTACACATTAATAATTACATGTACATGTACATGTATGCTTTATATAATGAATTACATGCAACTCAGTGTTTGTAGTTTCCCCATAGTGAGTTCAATCCTATCATGAAGCTGCTGACTCCAGCGCAGTGATCCTGATACTTTAGGCATGTTCTTATTAACAATGGGACCCGTTGGACTCTTCATGCTAGCCAACTGCTGGTCGTAGAGGACTTTAACTGTGTCCAGCTCTTTACTGCACATATCAATGAGTATCTTGTACTTGGGCTCAAATGTTTTATGAATAATGGGTCGGTCCAGTAGGGTCCCCAGCATATCAATCAACTAGAGGGTGGAAATATGGTACATATACATGTATACACTGTAGTTCAGTAATTCATGTTATGTGGTAGAGAGTTTTTGAGTTTCAAAATTGCACTGTGTGTGGTTTTATTTTTATGCAATAAAAGACTAGCTGTGTCATGTATTATTGAATGTGGCATGTGCATGTAATTATATGAG